GAGGCCTGACCGATGATATTGGTCAAATGCGTGGGCAGATCACGCGATGTGGAGGGAATATGTTGCTTCGAGACGTGCAGGGCAAGAGGGGTCTGTTACTGCTTGTTCCCCGTTGCACTTGAGGCACCGGAACTCTCAGTCGTGACGGGTGTCAGAGAGATTTTGGTTCGGAGGAAAGCAGAAGACACATGCGACACAGCACGCGAACTAGGCTCGGTTTGAATATACAAGGATTTGACGTTCGAAGCTGAAGCCATTGCTGGCTGTTAGGCGTGGTAGGCATAGCCCGAAGACCGTGAAACGGAGGATGGCATGTCGAGGGAGAGTAGGTACTTTGATGTTGACAAGGAGCGAGGCTGTATAGGCGGCGGAATCGGGGAATACTATAGGGAGAGGATGTAGAGTTTGGAGTGGATGGTGTCGTCAGTAAGGTCCAGGGATACTCTGTGGATAACTTCCTGAGCGTTATTCGGGTTGTTGGTTTCGTACGTGTTGGTGGGATGCAGTTTACCTTGGAGAGGGGTTTGCTGAAGAGCAAGGAGTTTGGTGGCCACAGAGTCGCGATATGCGTCCACTGCCAGGGGGTTTTGACGTGATCGCAGCTTGATGAAGGTGTCGCGACATTCCTGCTTGGTAAGGCGAGCCGCGGCTGGGCCGATGGTGATAGAACTCATAAATGGTGGTGTTATTCGTGAGCTTCACGGTATGGTCCGGGGTGAGGGGGCCCTATGTTGCCCGTTTTGGACTCCGACGGAGACTATAGGAGAAGGAAGTGATGCCAACAGCACAGCAAACGCAGATTGGATGTTGACCAGGGGTTTCCCCAGGATTCTAATCAAGGGGGGGGGGGGGGGGGGGGGAGGCGATGCGAGGCGAGGCTAGATAAAATATAAAACGGTTTCCTTTTTAGTCCACTAGCTAAATTACAGACGTCTATTAACCAAATGCTCATACCCGTAATGTATGTTTCCCTTTCTCTATATATACACCTGAGAGTTGGTGTTTTCTACTTAATCTAAAAAAAATATATTTTTTTTTTTAGGTTCAAGGGGGGGTGTCCAGAAAAACTAGGGGGGGGGGGGGTCTGAACCCCCCCTAGGGGGGGTCTAGGGAAATCCCTGATGTTGACAGAAGAAAACAAAATCAACATCCAATCTGCGTTTGCTGCGTTATTGATGTCCTTCTCCTATAGTCGCCGTGGGAGTCCAAAACGTGCAACATAGGGCCCCAGGCGTGGCATTGGAGTAGCGGGGTCCAGCCGACTCGATCGCCGGCAGTGTCCATGGGAAGGTGGTACGCAGAGATCAGATAGAACGCTGGACACGCGCCAGCGCCGGCAGACGCTGTGGCGTGCACGAGCTGGGATTAGCGCGGCGACGACGCCGGCTGAGGCGGAAGGTGGCGCACTTTTCAGATAGTACCTAATACCGGGCAGAAGGGCCGGGTTTGAAACTCTAGAGGCGCAGAAGGTGTTCGCTGACCCCCAAAGGAAAGTTGAGCAGGTTCCGAGGCCGCGGGAACTTTGCAAAATCGTAGTTGGTGACGGGAACTCGATGCGAGCACTTCGGAACGCATCGAGCGTTTCTTTTTTCTTTGTTACATCGACTACCAACTGCCTTGAGAATCGTCATGGAAAAATCATTGCTGAACATCACAAGAGCCTGCGACTATGTATGGCCAGTCCTGATGGCCAGTCCTGATGGCCAGTCCTGATGGCCAGTCCTGATGGCCAGTCCTGATGGCCAGTCCTGATGGCCAGTCCTGATGGCCAGTCCTGATGGCCAGTCCTGATGGCCAGTCCTGATGGCCAGTCCTGATGGCCAGTCCTGATGGCCAGTCCTGATGGCCAGTCCTGATGGCCAGTCCTGATGGCCAGTCCTGATGGCCAGTCCTGATGGCCAGTCCTGATGGCCAGTCCTGATGGCCAGTCCTGATGGCCAGTCCTGATGGCCAGTCCTGATGGCCAGTCCTGATGGCCAGTCCTGAACATCTTGTACGCAATTGTAAATAAATTGATGCAATTGTAAATAAATTGACCGTCGTATAAACGCTGCTGCGTTTATACGACGGTCTAAAGGGGTGTCCAAACAGGACACTACAAAACGCACGACTCCGACAAATCGTGAAAATTGAAGCGGACGCGCCCGCTTCAAGCCCGCTTCAATTTTCACGGTTTGTCGGAGTCGTGCGTTTTGTAGTGTCCTGTTTGGACACCCCTTAATGCGGAGCGCAAATTCGTCTGCTTCTTTTGCACAGAGGTTATGGTTATGTCAGAACGCCGAGCTCTGATTGGCTCTGATCGAAGGATAGTGAGTAGACCTCAAATCAGCTTACTTTGAGGTCATCCGACTATCCTTCAATCAGAGCCAATCACAGCTCGGCGTTTTGACATCACCACAACCTTTGCGCAAAAAAAGCAGACGAACTTGCGCTCCGCGTATGGTTCGCCACCTGCAACAGAAAAACGGCACAGACCATTCTCGTCGAGTGGATTATTGGTCTGTCTGAATCAGGGTGTAAGATAGACAGGTGGGGATACGAGAGCCAAATGAGCGACCGGATTGTGTCCCCCTCGGTTTTTTCTTTTTCTGTGGCGCCATCTATGTGGAGCACCGCGAACTCTCACTCCGGGTAGGCGACCGGTGGCGACCAACTAAACTGACGGAGACGATTTCTCGTGGATTTTCGATGGAGGGCTGTCGTGCTCTCAGTTTATTTTGCGCACTCTCCCATAAAGTTCCATGCAAATACAAATCCCGATTTTTTTCCTCTCGCCGCAGCGCCATCTGTCGCAAATCGGGGGTACCCGCAAGCAGACGAGTACACAATCTGGTCACGGCGCTGCGGTAGGCTTCTATGGGCTGCTTCCCCACCTGTCTATCTTACACCCTGGTCTGAATATTTAGACAGTAAGTGACTCAATGATCTCAAAACGAGCTATTCGACCAGTGCAATATAACTTTTAATTTTTCTTTTTTTCAAGTAAACCATGAAGTAATGATTACGCGAATTCAGCTAGACTGCAATGTAAATGATGTCGTAAATGATCTAATGTGATCTAATTCACAGCGTCACACACTTACCTGAAAGACGTGTCAACAACGCCAACTGCGCGCTATGCGCACAGTTATTGTTCAGTTACTGTGCAACGCTCCAAAATGGTGGCACGGATATGAATGAATGGGGGCACGGAGCTTGGGAATTTCGGTATTCAGGGATCGGCAGCCATAGTTTAGTACGCGTTCCTGCTCAGCGCGAGGTTACGATTAGCTTCTACAACGTTTCTGAAACGTGCACTGCAGATATCCCGATAAAGGAGGTTTGACCAGTGCCATTTTGAGCGGCCCATGAGTGTAGTTTTTCGCTTTCATTCAAAAGCAACGAAGACGCTCGAGCAGGGCTGTAAAAATTACACGAGGGGCGCTGGGATTGAAAGCACTGCAATAGTCTGCTGAACATTATGCGCCTTCATTGCTCAGAATATCCACATCTGTTATTAAAGAGGAGTCTCTCAAAGTAGATCTACCATAATATCCCGAAAGATAGCCCACCTAAAATCAAAAGTATATCGGGTGAAAATTAGGAGTGGAATAACTTTCGGTGTGCACTCAAGAAAAGTTGAAAAAAAGAAATGCTATTTTTAGGTAATGTATCCCTGCCAAAATTGTTATCGCGGCGAGGGGCAATCAAGCAAAGATGACTGTACATCCCAGACAGCAAGGTTTGCTTATATCCCGCGATTTACGCCGAGGCCATCATTGATCCGATTACTAGGAGTGGGCAATCTTTCGGTGTTAAAAACGAAAATGGCAAATCAAGCCACAAATAGGGGAGGGTCTTCTGTGGAGGGTAGGGCATCACTCGGCATATTATGGTACAAGCACCAATAAACTTATCTCACCAGTCGTTCGGCGCATGCGTGAAGTCGCCACAACTTAAGTTCGCAGGAGGCGGGCGGCAGTGCACGAGACAGTTCGTGCTATCTCGTGCGCTGCGCGCGCAGAGCTCCAGCGAGGTTGTCACACGCGCAGAAAGACTAAAGTTCCCTCGATGCATTGCGGCAGCAGCTAATAACAGCGGTCTATAAAAAAAAATCTCACTCATTTTATGGAGTTAATATCTTCTCATAAACTCAGTGCCACATCACGAAGTCACTCAAATTCACTCTAAAAAAAAAAGGATGTTTTCTTACACCCTTGGTCCCATATAAGATAGCCTAAAACCGCAGTTCTTCGTACAGCGCACTTTGATACGTACTTTCGCTGTTTAATAAGTTATATGGCACCGTTATCAAGCCCCTCGTAAAATTTGGGGCCGTCTGTTCGACCAAACTGAGGTTCAGCGTTGCATTATATGCGACAAAAGGGTGTAAAGGGACACCCTTTGTTTTTAGTGTGTACAGCCGTGTCAATCGGGGTGTTGCGTCGATTTTGAGGCTTATCAGCGACCATAAAAAAATCGCTGGAGCATCCCTTTACCGCAGCAGGAGCTACGCTACCCCCCCCCCCCCCCCCCCCCCCCCCCCCCATTGTCCGCCCGTCTTTCTGGTGGCAAGAAGCGGAGCTGTGCTTTCACGCGCCTCTCTCTCATTGTGTCTAACCGATTGAAATTGGTTTGCTCTGTATGTTTATGCAGCCTTGATGGAGATACGCCACGACGGGTAATCGGTCTCTTAGCTGTAGATGAGAAATTTAGCCAGTGCAGTACAACCGCTAACCTGGGATTTTTAACGTACATCACGCAGTAGTGATTACACGAACACGTGCCGGTACGAAACTCATCCAGATCGAAACGGGCGGGGTTGGTGGGAAATCGAACCCAGGAGGTTCCCAGCGCAAGCTTTCGCTCCACGCTCCGAGCTGAGACGCGTTAGCCCACCATGTTTATACAGGGATCATCTCTGTACCTAGCCCATTTTTGTACTTAGCTTATTTTTATACCGGGATCATTGTTTACCCGCGATCAGTTTCGTCCCGAAGAGGCAGATTGATCCAACGTGGTAAAAGATGCCGCAATAAAAAAATACAGATTTATTTCAATTGTGCTAAAAAGAGGGTACTAAAAACGCTCTTAAATTGCGTGTGTACAACGTCAAGAACTACACGAAATTTCCAGGCCACGTGACCTCAGCTGCCGCACCAAAATGGCGGCAAGTAGCTTCGACGACGTTCATTCCATAGTCCCGCCACGACCGCTGTCTGCCAACCGAACACGGCGCTAGCAGTACTCGAGGCCACTAGTGAAACGTCACTCATCCGTGTATGGCCACATTTTAACGTGCAGTCGTTTGATGGCTATACTTGCTAAGATAAGGGAAACTATCGCAGTAATTATTTACAACGAATTCGTAACACGTCCGAACTTGCTCTGACACTCCACAAGAAGTGCTTTTCAACGGGCATCTGCAGCGACTTGTCTACTCTAATAAACAAATACCATTTTTTCCCTTCATAGATGTAGTGAAACTTAGAAGCATTGAGACGATGAAGTCATCCGTTCCAGCGACACTGATCGTGTCAATCATTAGCTGCTTTATCGACAGTTCTTCTAAAAAAACTGGGACGGTTGAAAGCCAGCTTCATATGTTCTCTCAGCTGGAAAACGATTACATAAATTGTAACTTCGTTATGCCACACAGCCAATGACGCATAGTATACAGCTCCATTTCCTCATACCGTCTCCGGCAGACAGCATCGCAAATGAACCTGGGGAGGTTCATTGGGGAAGGTGGGCTGTGTGCACAATAACGCGTTACGGAAGGCAAAACGTCCGTAAAATTACCATGGAACGCGTATCAAACGCATCTATAAAACGTCCAGGAAATTGTCGTAAAACGTTCATGGAAAGGCCGCGAAACGCGTGTGGATGTCCGCGGTTGCATCTTGTGAACGACGTAGCTCGCGACTCCTCTGTGAAGCACATCGCGCGCCTTTCGGGCCAGCACCCTTTCCGGGGCCTTGGTTGTCGTGGGTTAACTCGCGGGTCGTTGAATCACTTCTGGGGGCCGTTACACTTGACGCAGTCGTCCATGACCGCGTGGTACTCCTCCACCTGCAGCGTGAGCTCGAAGATGTCGTAGTTGGAGCGAATGAGCCGGGAGCAGGCCTTGAGGGTGTGCATCGCGTCTTCATTGGGCCCTGAACAGCACGAAGAAGGAAGCGAAGGTGAGAGAGACAAGTTGAAACAATTAACATCGGCGAGAGGTCACGCCTCAAGGACCGTAAGGTCACCGCAAGAGGCCAGACTCAGAAACAAATCAGTGCCGGAAATCAGTTCTTACGGATGACGATGTGGGCGGAGAGGGCGATCTTGTCCATAGACAGGGCCCAGATGCGCAGGTTGTGGACCTGGTACACGCCGGGCTGCCGGGCAAGCAGTCCCTGGACCTGGCGAAAGTCGATGCTGTTCGGCTTGCCCTCCATCAGTACCGTGAGGGCCTCGCGCAGGATGGCCACCGTGGACAGCAGAACCAGTACCGAGAACAGGAAGGTGCAGAGCGGATCCGCAATCCGGTACTCGGGCTGCAGGAAAGCAGAACACAGTGGGCTTTGAAGTCGGAAGATCCTCGTCCGAAGGTCCCAACGAGATCAAGGCCAAACCTGATCTACTACAACCTCATCCTTTATAACCCGACTTTTCCTTTGCCGAAACTGACATCCCCGTGATGGAGGTGCTTTCCCCCGGGAGGAAGAAGCAGGGTTGTGGACTCTCAAACATCCCAGACCTCGACCATTTCCGATTTTTCAAAGAAAATTCATGCCTTTTTACCTCAAAGTCTAACCTTTTGTCTAAAACATTTTCGCCCATTTTAAAGCGCACGTCTAAAGGGGTGTCCAAACAGGACACTACAAAACCCGTGACTCCGACAAATCGTGAAAATTGAAGCGGACGCTTCTATTTTTACGGTCTGTCGGAGTCGTGAAAATGTTTGCAGGAGTCGTGAAAATTTTTACGATCACGACAGCTCTCCTCTTCAGATTGACGTCACACGCCACCTGCGTCTGGCTCACCTCGCCAACGCCCTCGCGTACCGCCGTCGCCTCGGTTCCAAGGCCAAGGAGGTCCGGCTTTGGGTGGATTTGGGACATTCCTGCGTCGAAGGGTGCGTTTCGCCCGCCTCGGATCTGCTTTCTTTGTCGAGATTCACTTTCGTCGTGATGGCGTCCGATGCGGTTCCGTATTGTGGGCGGAGGCCTTGAGCGACAGCCAACAGAGCGTGTGAGTGGCTCTCCAGACCCACGTGATAAGCAGAGCAAGGCCGCCGTGGAGGAAGCGAGGGGGAGATTTGACGGTGGGAAGTTTCCCCCCGGGAAGAATTGACGGAGGGAAATTTCCCTCCGACGGCCGGAAGCGGATCGCGGCAGAGCGCGGCACGATTTACCGGAGTCGCGGGTTTTGTAGTGTCCTGTTTGGACACCCCTTAAGGCGCCCGCTTCCGGCTTGAGCGGCGTCGCCGTCGGCGTAACCGTGGCGACGTTTCGGCATGGTGGCGGGGTCACGTGACCCCCCTCGGGGGGAAAAGGGGAGGGGGTGTCAGGGGGGTTACGTGACACTCCTCGGGGGGTCAGGGGAGTGTCAGGGGGGTCACGTGACACTCCTCGGGGGGGTCAGGGAAGTGTCAGGGGGGTCACGTGACACTCCTCGGGGGGGTCAGGGGAGTCACGTGACCCCCGTGATGTCGGTGACCCCACGAGATCACGTGACCCCCGTGAAGTCACCTGACGTCCGTGAGGTCACGTGACCTCATGGTTACGCCGACGGCGACGCCGCTCGGAGGAAGGAGCAGCATGAGGGGGAGGAGGTAAGGAGGAGGGGTATACCTTCCCCTCACTACCCTTCCCTCCTCCTCCTCAAGAGCTGCTCTCTAATACGGCGTTACAGGAAGTTGTAAACGGCTTTCATTTTTTTTATGGCGTGAGCGTGGTTAGAACTTATTGGCGTAAAACTAGGCATCAATCAATAATTCAGTAAAAATAAGATTTTCTTCGAAACGCTTCACAATTTGTTTTATGAAAATCGAACGGATTCTTGCTCTGTTGTGACGATTAAGAAATTTTTGTTGTAAAACTTTTTTTAATTCAACAAAATGCACAAAACTTACCACTTTACTATTTTTTTTTTAATTTTATTATCGCTTTGCGCCTGTACAAAAAATGCTTCATATAGACAAAAATAATTCTAAAGCTGTCAAGAGAAGTCAGTTTTACTGCCTAAACAACCGTCTATTCTACCCTGAGGTGGTCCCACTATAAATATGCAAAGCAAACCGGCTTTGAAATAAGAGTTTATTGTCTCATTTCTGAAAGTTCAATCAAAATCATTATTTGACTAAACCGAGAAAACAAATATTGAATTTGAGATCCCGCGTCACAACCTGGTATTGTTTCAATTAGCTCCTCTTCACCGCACAACACGCCACCTGACACGAGAGATGAGAAGCTATGCGGGCACGCAATGAAATTTCTGGTCGGGACTGTAATTCTCCCGCACAGTGTTCTGCGCATGCGCATTCTTGACTCGCAATTGCCTTGCGTATGCAGTCACTGTTTACAGCTGAACATGTGCCGCGGTCTGCCACGGCCGCTTCCACTTGTCCTTTTCTGCTGCAATGCAAACAGCGGCGGTTATTTATCGTGGGTTAACTGTACGTACCGCCACTGCATAGCAGGCTCGTTGCGCCATCTGTACCCAATGTCAGCCCCCCGCCCCATCCCCCCCTTGGAAACGTGATGCCTAATCGGTGTCGGCACCTCCTGACAGGGAAACGGGGTGACGATAGTGCGGTAGCTCCGTTTCAACTTACCACGGACTACGGTGCACGCTACGACCAATCGCAGCCCACCCAGCGTTGTGCTCGTATCACATCATCCGCGCGTCGCTGCGGCCCTCTCGAAAGTCACGTGACACTAACACGTCATTGGATTGGCTACTGTGCCGCCTAGCGTCCGGTGCGGTGGATCGTAAGGGGAAACGGATTTGAAAGGAAGGGACCGACTGCAAGAAAGGGCAGAACAACGAGGAGTATTTTTTTCGAGTGACGTTACCACTGACTATAGTGGATCGGGAATAAAAAGAAGTTAATTTTTCGTCAGAGTACGCTGCTATAACGATGGATGAAGCGGGTCAATCGGCACTGGCAAGTCATTCAGCGGTTCTTGCGGATGCTGATGAGTGTAAATAGAACATTCTTATTACTTAATTTTCCAAACTAGAATGATAGTTGTCTGGTGTTTACTCATCCTAATGTTTCATTGACTCTGTTCAGTTGCAACGATTCCGCCACTTCTGTGCTGAGTGGGATTTGTTTGCTACATCCCACGGGAAGAGTGCATGCTCGTGACGGAGTAAGGCAGTGAAACGTCAGACAGCAAGGGTCAGTCTTCAAAGTCCCTTTCAGAATCAAATTATGACGCCTTATCAGCTATTCACCTGGACTAAAAATAGCATTGGCGGTGTTACAATTCTCTGGGTTAAAAAAAAAATGGTTGAAGAAAAACAAACCCGACTAACTGCACGGTTCGGCTCAACGGTCCCCGTCAAAGGGACATGGGGTTTTCATCACTTAAAGATGGCACCACCTTCAAGGTTACGTGCTGGATTTACATCCTATTCAGAGGCACAGGATTCTGCAAATTTAAATTAGAGTTTAGGCTAGTTGTCCTAACTGAAAAATTTTACCAATGAAAATCACATCAGCAGAAAAAACCAACGGGGCGTGAGCCTTCGACTGCCGCATGACCAAGAACATGGTACTGCTGAGATCTGTTCAACACCATAAGGTCGTTTTCATATCGCCTACTGACAGAGCTTTTATGCTGTTGCTTACGTGTATCTAGACATTGACAAGAGGGACAAATTGCGGTGTGTAACAACTGACCTGGATGAATATGCTGCCCTTATAAAGCAGCAGATATGACAAGCCGTGCTAGATCACAAGAGGACTCCTCTGCAGACGACGGTTGCAATTGCAGAGATTGGGAAGCCGAGGAAGCAGAAGCAAGCATTTTTTTTATGAATATGACGACACAACCTTTCTGTGTCCACCTGCGGTGAAGACAAACCATCGCTTTTTCGTCCGGCAACAATGTCGACAGAGGTGTGCTGTGCGGAGAAGAGGAGCTCAACTTCACTATTTTTTTTATTCTTCTTCTAGATTTAAACAAAAATCATTTTGATTAGACTTTCAGAACTCTTAATTTATTGTTAAAAGTATTTTAACGATAAAATTTGCATTGTCATCACAACGTTGCATGATAAAAGCAGTTTGAATTTCACTAAACAAAATGTGAAGTGTTTGGAAGAAAATCATATATTTACTCAATTATGAATTGATGCCTAGTTTTACACCCATTCTAGAAGTTCAAACCACGCTCACGCCATTAAAGAAAAATTTTCTGGCGAAAACATTTTAGGAAAAGGTTAAATACCTTAAAGTAAAAAGTCATAAATTTTCTTTTAAAAATCGCAAATGGTCGAACGAAACGTTTGGGCTGTTTGAGATAAAACGACCCAGCACGGACATTGCGGTTATTAAACGCTTAATCTTCCGAATAATCCATTAGTGCTTCAATCGCGATTAACATCTTGAAGAGGATAATCGCGGTCAGGTTTTGAATTGGAAAATTTTCGGTGAACAAAGCTAAAGAGAAAATGCCTGCTTTGTCATTACTTAGTGTGCATTTGTCTATTTCAGACCACCGCACGTCTATCCTTAGGAGACGCATGACGCATGCCGGCGTCCGGTATACAGTAAACCCGTTTATAACGAACAGCAGGAAACGCCACGATCAGTTCGATATAGCAAGTAATTCGATATAGCAAAAACTATGTATAATGAACTTCCACGACGCGTCCGTTGTAAGGCGAGAACTTCTTTTTCATTCGCATCTCTTCGCTTCCGCCTTGTCACAACGCGCTAGAATTTTTTTTCTCTTTTTTTTTTTTTTTTTGCATACGTACAGAGTTTGCGTTTTTAGCTTATCTTTCCTTCTGAATCGCTTCTTGTCGTGGGCAACGGTTTTGGGATGAAAAGTTTTTTTTTTTTGTCTTTTTTTGCTTTTCCCCCTCTGATTCGCTTCTCTTCGCTCAATTTTGTTCTCAACTTGAGCCTTTAGAATTTTCTTTTTTTCTTACTTTTTTTTTTTTTTTGGTGAAGGCTAGGTAAGAGACGAATATTTGCGCGTTTTTGGAAGCCTTCCCGGGGGGGGGGGGGGGGGGGAGTTCGATATAGCCAATAGGTTGTTTGTACTCTTTAGATGCAATTTTATTAAATTTTTTTTTGCGAGTTCGATATGGATAATAATTCGCTGTACGTGGGTAGAAGAGAACTACTGGGCATGCTCAGAACGCCTTCGACAGCCGAGCAGACAAAGAGGGCTGCGCGCACGACGCACCTTGAAGTAGATGATGAGGGCGGCCACGAAGACGCCCAGGCTCTGGAGGAAGTCTCCGATGACGTGGATGAGTGCGGCGCGGACGTTGATGTTGCCCGTGCCCTTGGCTCCAACGGAGCTCACCGTGCTCACCGGGGACGGGAAGCCGTCTGTCCCCCGCTCCTCGTCCGATTCCTTGGAGGGCGACCCGTGGTCCGACCCGTGGTCCGAACCGTGCGAAGAGCCGTGCGAATGGCCGTGCGGAACGCCGCCTATCTGGAGCGCAGCTCCCATGCTGAGAAAGTGAGAGAGGAAGCTTTTCATTAAAGTCCAGCTGAACACACAAGCCCCGGAGCACGTGGAACGAAAGCTCGCGCTGCAGAACCCAGAGATCCTAAGTTCATTTCCCAATTCCCTGTCCGTTTCGATCTTTTTAGTCAAGTTGGTGTGACGAAAATTTTTTGGTTTATATAAATATCGTTTATGTGCAAGGTATGAAATAGAAACAAAATGATCCCAATATCACCTTAAAAACTTAGCGAAGGAGAAGATAAAATTTATAGATACCCAACACGAATTAAAAAAAACCTTGGGAAGTACTTTTTAGAACAAATTACGGCCATCAAAGTTCAAAATATACTTCGCCGACTACCTTTCACCAGCTTAGTAGGCAATGAGTTGAACTTGGCAATATATCGGTGAGCATCTTACGGGAAATGTGTATTCCAAATGTTTATTTCGAGCCAAATTGTCCGCAACTTAGCGCTAAAATCTGTTGCGTTGATGTTTTCTTTCGCGTTTATTTCAGTGAGGCTCTAACTTTCTGTGTATGTTTTCACTATTGTGTAAATTGTATGAAAATGCTACTTATCTTGTATAGCGTTAGCGTTTTTTTTTTTGTTTTTTTTTTTTTCCTGTAATGTTTCTCAAATATGTAGTGTACGTGTCATGTTCTATTTTTGTATAATTTCTTTGGCGCCTGCATCGCGACTGCTGGTTTATGTTGCTTGGGGCTCGTCAAGCTGTTTTTACAGCTTTTTTCCCGTGTCACCTTTACAACGTTGTTTTTGTTGGAAAAAATAAAGGTACTATTATTATTATTATTATTATCGTACCAGCGTGCGGTCGTGTATCACAAGAGTGTTTTAGTAGATCGTTCAGTCACTCCCGCTACGCTATCCGAAATCCACTACGACCTCCTGTATACATGGCATAGCGGAACCACCATTTCAAGTTTTAGTAGAACGTTCGCAACCCGCCACAGATTACAGCGTTACGAGAGCTAACGCAACGCTACTATAGTAAGTTACAGGTCAAGAAGGTAGTGGCGAATGCCCCTCAAAGGGAATCATATATCGCTCCGCCAGCTCCGCATCCAATAGCGTCCCATAGTTTTCGTGACGTCGCGGCCAACGCGCGAGGAGGGTCTTGCCTTTCTGTACATACATATTTGCCTTATCTTTCGACTTTGACTTAGCATTGTGGAAGCCACGAGAGGGATATTTGAGTTTTCCCCCTCCTATGGATACAAATACGACTTTCGGGGATTAGGTTCCCCCTCCGATGGATACAAAGGCTGCTTTCAGGGGCTCGGTTCCCCCTCCGATGAATACAAAGGTCGTTTTCTTAAAAAGTGGGATCGGAGACAAGTTGGCATCACTCTGTAGCCAACATCTATCCATTGAAGCGGAACAAGGGGCGTTTCCAGTGAACTCTTCTTTCGACTGCGGAGGGATTTGAAACGGACGCATCACGCTTGTGGGAAGGAGGAGCTTCTCCTAACTTCTTGACTTGTGACCGACTATAGGAAGTATTCACAGGCGGCCATAGTTGTGTGCGCGACTGCTGAGCGCGTGCTGATGGCGAGCTTCCACGGTACTTTTGCAACGTGCTTTCCACACCATCAGGATTGCCGGTCTTAGCAGCCTATTAATGTGGGCTCCTTCTGAGCGTGCGCTCTGGACAGCACCCACAAATATGGCGCCCAGTGAATACTCCTTATAGAAGCCTTTTCAGGTACTGTGGCTCGAGTAAAACAAAAATTTCTAAAGCAATTCGTTGCAATTTTTTTTTTATTAACGTCGTTATTTTCTTACAACATTCTTTTTTTTATATAGAATGAAGTGCTAATATTTGCTTCTTTTTAAAGTAAATGGCTGTTGGCCAAGTTCACCGGCGTATGGCAGCAGCCTCAAAGCACTCTAGGTATTATTCACTTCCGGTTCGTAGAGCAGCCGACGCAGCCCCATGACGGCTATGGAAGCATGTGCGGGTGTTGAAACCCGATCAGGCCGGGCCACCTTCCTCTGCTGCTGGGTGACTTACGCACTTCCGAACGTCTCAAGTTACTTCTAAGGATATGTTAAGTAGTAATCGGTACGCAGAAGCATCGAGAACGGCCACGAAAGCGCAGAGCGAGTGCGGCCGGCGGCAAGCTGCAGTCGCACCGCGCCTCCCGGATCTTCGCATGAAAACTCAGCTTAGATGTTTCGTTTTCCTTTTGAGCCAGCGTTTTTCATTTGGGTTCTGTTTATCTTTGATGGTTACGTTAGATCACATCACCGACTGAAATAGCCGCGAATGGGACGCGGCCAGCTGAAATGCCCGATCGGAGGTCTGGCGTACTTTTCTCATTTTGTTAGAACACCTCCTGAGTCTGGGTAAGAAAATCTAACAAGGCAGTAAGTTGGGCTAGTTGGTTTAACATCGTCAAACGTGAAAACAGCGCAAAAATTTTTTTGCGCTGTTTTCACGTTTGACGAAGTAAGAAAATCTTCAGGCAACCAAAAGTTGAAGACAGGGAAAGAAGTCGGTCAAACGGCGTTTTCAAACTCAGCTAATATTTTTTCTAGCGCGATTGAAACGCCACTTCCGTACAAAAGTTAGTTTCGACGACATCTGACTACGTGACAGTCCTTGCTTTTTAACACTCACACGTTTTTGGTACTTCAACTAAGTTTGTCCCCCGTGAACTACTATATACCCCCCCCCCCCCCCCTTCCCGCACGTTTTTTTAATGATGTCGAGTAAGAAAACATGCACAAACGAGCACCGATTTTGATATGAGCTACGCAGGGTCGAACTACCGCTTTATGATCAGTCAATATGAAGGTGCTGCCCCTTTGCTTTTGTTTCTTTATATTGCAGAAAGCTGGCCTGTCATTTTGTTTATGTATATTATAGCAAGCAAGTTGATGTCTCTGTATCTAAAAGCGTTCGTTTCTATTGTGAAAATTGTTATGTTTGCTATGGCTCATTTCCTATACGAATAGTAGTTGAAGCTTCTGTGGTGTATTTAGTGAATGCACCCCGCAATCATTGAATTTGTTGTCTTTCAGTTGTTTTCCCATTACATTTTGCAAACGGAAGAGTTGTCTGCTTCGTACTCGATTAAAAAAGAAACATGCGGTTCTTTTTTTTCTGTTTAACGCGAGGAACAGCGTTCGATTATAGTAGCTTTTGCAACGGCCGGTCCACGTCACAAAAGTCTCCTAGGCTTTGACGGACCCGAATTCTGTACAAAGTTATAAAGTATTATTATTATTATCATTATTTTTTTAAATTATATTCGGCTTATATATATATATATATATATATATATATATATATATATATATATATATATATATATATATATATATATATATATATATACCGAATAAAAAGTATAGCAATACATGTACAGAAATGTAGATAATTATGTCGTCTTATCGTGATTATTTCATTTACTTATTTGTTTTCCGAGGAGGTAGAGACTAAACACGTGACGCCTGACGAAGTCTCTACGATATGTATCGTTCGAATACAGATGGTTGTAGATGACAGCGTTCGCGAGAACCTTAAAGGTGACGCTTACGTATCCCTAGCGGCGAGCAAGCCAGCGGATGCAAGCAATTGGCGACTCACATGATGTTGACGATGATGCCGACGCCCGCCGTGACGAGCATGATGGTGGCGTTGATCTCGTACTCCTCCACCAGGATCCTCTGGACGGCCATGTAGACCAGCACGCCGGTCACCACCCAGATGAGCAGAACCGACGTCACCGCGCCGATCACCTCTGCACGGGCGCAAAAAAGTGACGAGTCATGGCACCGTACAAGAGGACCAGCACAGCTAGGATCATGCCACATAGAAGACAAGGCCTGCGCACGACGTCATCGTAAGTAGACCTGCCCCAAGCGGCAACCAAGCCTCGACGAAAGACGCAGGAAAGCGCCTGACGCGTCCGTCTTGGTGTAGCCGCGCTGGTGGCGATACTGACACAAGCTAGGCGGAGCTCCGTGGATCCACTGGTGATGACGTTTTGGGGGAAAGGCCTTGCAATCTACATTGAATTGAGTGGACGGTGCCTCCGCGATGGGTCACGCATAAACGCCATGCGTCATTCGTTTCTAAGCAGCTGAGCATGAAAGCGCTGAGCTGAGTCTGTTGCGCACCTTAAGAATTGCAGGACAATATAGATACTCGGCGAGATCGCCGATCGCCGCAATTGGCCAGTGCCGTGCTTGTCCTTGGCGCTGGCCAATCGTGGCGTCGCGCCATGGCAAATGACGGCAATCTCGCCGACTTTCTCGCAGAGTGTCGAACTTAGAGCCACTGGTCTTTGTCGCGCTGTAGCTGTCTAGTGTCCACGATGAATCATCAAGCTGCCCAAGGCTTTATCTTAGCAAGATCTCGTACCTGCCCTGTACCAGCCGAAGCTCATGCGAAGCGTGGGTGGCCTATGGGCCAGCCAGAGCGAGAAGAGGCTGATCATGAAGCTCGCAAAGTCGGTCAGCAGGTGGGCCGCGTCCGTCGCTATCGCCAAGCTGTTAGCCAGCAGGCCTCCTGGAAAGACGACAAGAGAACCGGACGAGGACAAGCTGTTAAAAGTGGGCTGTAGTAAAGTTGATGTCAAGGAGAAGGGTGCACCCACCGACAATCTCGATGAGCATAAACACCAGGCACAGCACGCTGGCGAAGATGAGTTTCTTGCGGGCGAGTGTGTCCACTTCCACGTCATCCGGGCTGTGGCAGTGCTCGACCGTGCTTGCCTGCGAAAGGGTGCACAGGTCAGTCACAATGGCACCGGGCTTTACCTACATCACACACCCAGGGGTCCTCAAAGAGGAGGCATCTTAGACGCCCAGTCCACTGACAGGGCACCTCCCGCTGAACGAGCATTTAACGAGCCTGCTTCGAAACTCAGCTGTCATAAAACGAGCCACAGAGCGCGACACAGTTGGCAACGTGCGATCCCATGCATGTTCTTCTGCAGTTACCTTTACACAGCTGAAGTATTTTCGGGGAAGGAACATTTGAACTGCGCTCACAAAACTTCGCTCTTGGACGCTATAATGTACTGCGGTTACTGCAAGACGTTAAAGACCTGCTTGCACTACCTAAATTTCCCATCTACAGGGCGAACCAGTGCCATCGTACAATAGCGTATACCGACTACTCGCTGCACTAAGCATAAAACGTCTCATCTGCTTTGCTTCGTTTTTCTTCTTTTTTTTTTCTTGCGGATGTCGCGTTTGCGTTAATTACGTCGCTTAGTTGACAGCTGTCATCCAAAAACCATTCATTTGTTAATTTGAATTGAATATAATTAAGTAGTACATGGCCTGTTCGTCCGATCGTTATGACATTGGGGAATCGTAGTAGACCGTTTCCGCAGCCCGCTAAGCACCCGGATAGCGCTCCGTGATCCGCCACAAGACCTTGAACTATGCAGACAAGGCTGGCGGCGCGCATGCGCAGTAGCGGCGTTTTCTTCACGGATACCGTAGGGGAGGAGAAAAACGGTCTACTACAATCCCCTATTTATCTCTCGCAAGGCCAGCCGTATAAATCTCGTATAACGACAATAACCCCCGAAGAAGGAGAACAAGGTGGAAAAGGACAAACACAAATTTAAAACAAAACACAGGTCCTGGTATCCCCCCAGGTCCTGGTATCGAACCAGGGACCTCTTCATTTCTAGTGGAGCGCTCTTACAAACTGAGCTAACCAGGAGTTCGACGTGAGTAGAGCAAACGTGTTTTAACAGCTGCCACCAGCCTAACACCAACAAGGGTGAACGGCTTGCATTTTGAAGGTTGTGATTGATAATGCAATTAAATGCAAAGGGGCAAGCGAGTTGGACATTAATAACGATAATAATTCCTGGAGAAGGAGTACAACGGGGACGAAGGACAAACACAAATCTCCAAACACAGCTAGGTGACTGTAGGCGACTGAAAATATTCGCCTCGTCTCGGTATCAAACCAGGGACCTCTCGATCTATATATTTCCAGTGGGGCGCTCTACAGACCGAGCTAACCAAGAGTTAGACGTCAGTAGAGCAAACGAGTTGGTAGAGCGCTCCACTGTAAATGGAAGAGTCCCTGGTTCGATACCAGGACCAGGCGGATTTTTTCAGTCGCGCACCAGTCACCTAGCTGTGCTTGGAGATTTGTGCTTGTCCTTTGTCCCCCTCCTGGGATTATTATCGCTATCCTTGTCCAGCTCGCTGCGCCTTTGCATTAATTGCACTAACAACTTTATTTTTCATAAAATCATTATTTTATGAAAAATAATGATTTTTCATAAAAAATCATTATTTTTAATGAAAAATAAAACAAACAAAACAAAGAAAGGAAAAGGAAGGAAATTGGAAAAATACTCGCATCTGTATTGATCGCACCGTGGTAGGGGGGTTGCTGCAGTCCAGAACCCATTTGCTGGTTCGAAATGAAAGGGCTACAGAGGGTATGCGCTCAGCAGCAAGGCAATAACAGCAGCTGCTAATATGACGTCAATCCAAGCCTCGCGTATATTCTCAAGGATAATTATGCTCTTTCTCATTTTGTTTCATTTTTTCCTCCAGTTATTTTACTCCCTGTAAACATGGTACATTTTTTTTAATTGCTCTTTTAAACGTACTTTTTCTCTTTTTTTTTACTTCTTTCTCAGGTTAATTCGCTCTTTGAAAATTTTATAGGAAAAATGCACCACCGTGGGCGACGCTGTACAAGATCGTAGCGCGATATGTTAAGAAACCGATTTTTGCGGTCGAGTTAAAGAGCCTGGCCGCCATTTCTGACACCCTGTACTAATTCTCATTTGAGGACTTTTGTATTGTGTTTACAAGCACAGATGCGCAACCGCAACAAGATACAAATCAAACAAACGAACAATGACGTTGTTACATTAAAAGCGTTTCAACATCGCTGACAAATAGGAAGAGCGAGCTAGCATGGACAACGAATTAAGGCAAACTGTTGCACTTGTCAACGACAATTGGAAAAAAAACAAAAGTTTGAATCCAATATTTTGAAACTGAAATGCTTTGAATAATTTCCCATGGCTTGAACAGGTTGTTCGCCTGTCGTTTAGAATAAGGTATTTAGTTTTCTCTATCTTTGTCATGTTGTTTGCTATTTGGTACATTAGTTTTAACCATGATAGCTTAGCTCTGTTCGTGGTTGGATACACAGCCTGCAACTGAGTTCTGTGGGTGAGTCATGCGTTCTAAATTTATCGCTTTGACAGCAAGCGTTTGTATATTTTCGAATTTTTGGATGTTGTTTTTTGTGAAGGGGAACCATACAGGACTAGCGCATATTCAAGCAATTCAATTGTGTTGACTGCTCTACCGCTATGTGTACCCTACACTTGAAAAGCAACCATCTGAAAGATGACCATCTCAGATCATAAAAATATTACAAGTATGTTGCTTGTTTTCAAGAGCGCAGCTAAGCCTGGTTCACATGCAGCGATTTTGGCCCTAGAACGGCGCGATTTCTGCCGTCGCGGCGCCCTGGCCAGCACCAGCGGTTGAGCGGCACCAGCGCCGCGACGGCAGAAATCGCGCCGCTCTAGGGCCAAAATCGCTGCAAGTGAAACACGCTTTAAGCCTGATTCACATGGTGCGATTTTCTTCTGCGAATTCGGCGAAGCCTAGTTCACATGCAGCGGTTTTGGCCCTAGAGCGGCGCGATTTCTGCCGTCGCGGCGCTCTGGTCAGCACCAGCAATTCTGCGGCACGAGCGCCGCGACGGCAGAAATCGCGCCGCTTTAGGGCCAAAATCGCTGCATGTGAAACACGCTTGAAGCGATGAACCGCACATGCGAAATTTCGCGTTTCCTTTCACATTGATTGAAAACGTATGCGATTTTCCGCACTTGCGAAGCACGTGGTTGGAACCCTTGAATTCGTTTGAGGTTACTAATTTCGATATTTACCAAAATTATAAAATTTTCAGATTTATTTTTTAGCTTCTGGTAAAAAGTACCCGATATACTTATAATTAGGGCCGATTCAGACGTTTGCATCGACTGCCATTCGCATCAACAAAAACGACAAAAACAACGAGTGCGACGAATACTACAAGGACACTGGGAGAGCCACAGCTCATAAGTGGTTGAGCAAGCTTGTTGTTGCGTTGCTTGGCATGTCGCGCAAGGCGAGCAGTTGTCCCGGTGGCTTCGTCACGTGGACGATGTTCCATATTGAAAGAGGTCAAGTAGCAGCGCGTCTTGACTTTCATAGAGCATGATGGCCGCTACTCTAGATAACGACGAGTTCAGACTGCTCTGTAAAAAAAAAATACCTACTTCTGCGAAAAAAAAAAAAAAAAAAAACTGCTGCTACTAGACGGAAGCCCGCGGTGATGGTGGGTCAGGCCGTGCTGGCAAAACAGAGCCAAAGAATCGGAGTTTTACTCGTCGGTAAGTCGACTTGTGCTTTTCTGCGAGCAGGTTTCTGGAATACTTTTTCTCTGCAGACCCTCTTTATGCTGCACAGGGACCCGGAGCAGTTTCGAAGACATTACCGGATAATGCCGAACACTTCTGAAAGACTCCACGCTCGCCTGGAAACAAAGCTTACGAAGCAATATGTTGTCAGAGAGCCCATTTCGTCGCGGGTGCGGCTTGCTATCACTTTGAGGTAAAATGGTATTCTCTTTAAACTGCACTGTTTGGAGTGGATACGAGGTGCAATTAAACTGGTTTATATGGCAAACTCATTACTAGTTTCTCGGCTTCCAGACATTAATATACACAGCAATGCTTTGTTTTTATTCAGGTACCTGTCATCGGCAACGTCAATGCAGGACCTTGCACTGCAATTTAAGGTTGGAGTGTCAACAGTGGCATCCATCCTGCATGAGAGATGTCCGCTTATATGGAAGGTGCTTCGCCCAAAACACATGAAGGTAAGCAAAGAAAGATGATTTCGTTTTTGGTAACTTGTGGAAAAAAGGACGGTTTCACATGGAGCTATGTTAATTGCGATTTCGCAGTTGCGACGGCGCTGTTGCGGCAAACAGGCAGGTTCAATGCGATTATGAAATAATCGGAGCTGCGTCAATTGTCAAACATCTTTCGTGACGTCACCAGCGCCGCTACGACGGTACGGAAAAACAGCCAATAAAAACGCGCCTCGTCCAAAACCAACCGCGTATCCTTAATGTCGCATGCATGCTGTGAAAGAGTCGCTGGCGTCTCGTAATGAAAAAAAATGCTTCAAATAGAGGTGGTATTCCGGTCGTGTGGTATTCACTGGCGGCCATAGCTTGCGCCGGTTGCTCTTGAGAGCACGTGCTGCTAGTGTATTTGCACAACGCTTCTGCAACGTATATTTCACACCGTCAAGATTGTTTATCTTTGCCAGCAGTACGTAGCAGTTCTTTTTGAGCTCTAGCGGCGAACAATGCGCGCCTATACGGCGTCCACTAAATACCGCCTTTAAAGGAGCAATGCAACAATTTTTGTACTTTGCGCAAATACCGCTTAAAACGGATCCCTGACGTTAATGACCTATAAAACACGCGTTCGTTTTTCACCCCACGCAATAGAAGACTCAGAAAAAAATTAAAGAAAAATGAGCAGCGTTCACCCCCTCAACTCGCAGCCAGAACAAGCGGCCACGTGATCTGGAGCCGATTATATGCCGCCAGTGTTGATCATAGCCACGCGCTGGGGTTGGCAAAGCGCAGGACACGCGCTGAGTTATAGACATTGTTATGGCTCGGCTGTTGTCGCCGTTGCAGCGATTGGACACGG